GTTCCTCACCCTGCCTGATAGGGTATGGCGGTCACAGAAGTCTCATAAAAGTGGCATTTGAACAATGTCCTGAAAGATGAGTAGAGTGACATGTGATTAAGGAGGGCGTACTAGGCAGAGGCACCATATTTGGAGAGTTACAAACAGCTTAGAACAGCTGAAAAAAGTAGGCAAATACGGTATCATGAAGGGTCTCAAAGCTACCCTACAGAATTAAACATTTATTCCGTATATAATAACCACCAAAGGGTTTTACATAGATGAATGACCACAATCAGATCAACTGTAGAGATGTAAACCTGCCAAAATGGTGGAGGATGGACCGAAGAAGGAGCCACATGAAAGCCTGGGAGTCCGGAGAAGAGGCTATCACCACAGGCACGAGGCGAAGAGACGGGGATGAGAGGAAGAATGTCAGTGAGAAAGGAGAAGAGGGCAGAGACCAAACAGCGGTTTTAAAGGAGAAGCGAACAGAAGTCAGACTTGGACAAGGAAGAATCGAAGATAAATCACAGGTGTCAAAGGTAGGTGACTGCGTTGGTAATGATAGTTTGCATTAATCAAGGTAGGGAATTCAGGCAAAGAAAGAGGCTTTGAGATGAAGGCACATTCAACCTCAGGCCTGCTGAATTTCAGATACTGGTTGTTTACCAGGTGATGTCTAACAGGTAGTAGGGCATCTGGGTCTAGAGTACAGGAAGGTACAGGATGTGGTGCCATGAGTTGGTGGGTATCTGTCCATATGCAGGTAGTAGTTTTGGGGACTGTGATATGTGTATATGTGTAGGGGGAAGTAGGATATGGAATTCAGGAAAATCAATAACACTATAACGAGCAAAGAAAGACGTCAAACATTTAAGGGCACCAGAATTAGGGGAGGCAGTGTGGCAGATTAAGAACAAAGAATAGAAAAACAGGAAAACCAGGAAAGAGAGGGTGGCAGCTGGTAAGAAGACACATTTTAAGGTATGGAGGATAGGTCTGTGGTGTCAAATACTTGAAAAAATAAGGTAAGATTAAAGCTCATTTATAACCTTTGCTAAACAAGTTTTGCTAGAGTAGTGTCATCTACATCCAGATTACGGTAGATTTAGGAAACAATGAGATATGAAGAAGAAAATAATTGCTAATTTATGAGAACTTACTATATGCCTGAACCACAGTAAGTATAATGTATGAAAGATACCATTTGAGCCTCAGTCTAACCCTGAGAGGTAGGAATTAGTAATAATATTGTTTTGTAGATGAAGAAACTGAGACCCAATAAGTAGAGATATTTTGCCTGTCAGAGGTAGGTCTCAAATCCTATGCTTTTTAACCAGAAATTGAAAAGTTCTTGCTCCCTTATGTTCTATACATTGTTCTGAAATGTGCGGGTATGATGGAACAGTAAACAGTGGCTAGGGTGAGTCAAAGCCAGGGTGGTGAACTGGTTACAATTTTGTATTAAAACAAAAAGCCTGAACATATTTACGGGTTGATGAAAATAAGCTGGGAGAGCGGGTGAGGGAGAAAACGCCGATATGATGGAGGGCACGGATATCCATGCTGGGCGAGGAGGACCCCTCCAGGGTTTCTAGGGTACTGTGTGCCTGGAAGCAAGGGAGAGAACTCCAGTTCTTTAGTTCTTCCCCACTACTGGTCACAGGCTAAAGAGTCAGGGCAGGATCTTTCCTGTTAGGGGTAAAACTAAAGAAAGATTTCCTTCCTTTAGAAACACATGTTTCAAACAAACAAACAGATGAAAAACAATTTAAAATTGAACAATACCATGTAGACATCAAACTCATCCAGGCATCTGAAAGGAGATTCCGCGATGGACCATAGGGAAAGAATAAAACACACGGTGGAGAAAGAACGTTCGCCTCCAGACAAGGCTCTCATGTCATTGAAGGCAGCTTTATTTCCTTCTCCCGGCTGAACCTTGAAGAGAATGAGTTGACAAGGAACAAAAACTAAGTAAATGAAAGGCCAGATTAAATTTTTTACAATACAAATAATAGATTTACAGTAAAAAGGAGATAAGAATAAAATGACTTAGTGATTTGAAAATATCCATTCCATTCAAAATATTTTACAGTAAAACAGTTACACATAATGGTATTTCTTGCTCTACTGCAAGAGAATAAAACTGAAAACTTTTTTCACCATAACTGAATCTAACATACCAAAATTCCAAAGGCTTAATAATTTAAAAAATGTTAATAAATGTTGTGATCGTGGCTGACTGCAACCTCTGTCTCCCAGGCTCAAG